GGGGCCCGCGCGCCGCTGCCAAGAGGCGAGGGCTGCCCCAGCGCCTTCCTTCGCTCCCCGCGCTGACGTACAGGAAAACTCATCGCTGCGTTGCCCTAACCAAGTGTTTTCCACGAATCGCGGTGCCTTTAGCCAACGCGGCGGCGTGCGAGGCTTGTTGCCGTTCAGGGGCTCTGCCTTGATCAAGGATTCAATAACGGGTGTGATAATCTGCTGTCTTAAAAATAAGACACTTTGTAGTGTCAGGACCAGCACGACCTGTTAACTTGATAAAGGCTGCTGGTAATGGCTGTAAGCCTGCTGCTTAGCCTCCAGCACCTGAAAGTAGTGGGTTCACCTTACAGTCTAATTTGAAGGATCTACCACTTAATTCTGTGCTTAGCCTCCACCACCTCAGAAGCGGTGGGTTCATCTTACAGTTTAATTTGAAAGAAAGTATGTTTATTGTGTAAATAAACACACGGCACGGCAAGCCTCCTACTCTGTCACGTGCCAAAAAAAGGGGGGGGGGTGTATTGGGGGGGGGCTGATTTCCTATTGAAGACAGAAGCAGAAAGGCTGGGATTTGGTCCATCTAAAATTCACCTTAAATTCATGAAAATAGCACTGTTAGCTTCTGTTGGTGTATTTGTAGCGATGAGAAGGATTTGCTCCAAAGTTAGAGAAGCTGAGAATTGCACGGTTTGCAAGAATAAGTAAATAAATAGATTAAAAAAAAGAATGACTATCTTGATCTTACTTCTACCTCGATAGCTCTTCTTTATCTTTCTCTTAAGCGTATCTCTCACAGCAGAATCCATGTTTATCCTCCTGTCCAGCTGGGCAGTACATTTATCCATATGCATGCAGATCTAAGTCACAGAGTTGTTTTGTTCGACATGAGTTGCGAATGTTAGGAGACACCAATAGAAATTCTTTCCCCACCACAATTCTTTCAGCACCACAACCAGTACCCTTATTCAGATGACAAGTGTAAGCAGTTTACAGAACTGTTTAGGGTAAAAAAAAAAATATAGGAAATCGTTATAAAATAAAAACATAGACTGCTTCAAATAAAAATGCACTGTGTTTGGCTGCCATCCAAATTTCCAAGTTATTCCAGGTCTGATATACAGCGATGCTGAATATACAAATCTCCAGAAGTCAAGGGCTCTGCATCTGTGCAAGTCTGGTTTCTTATCTCCCGGATCAAAGAACAAATCCTCTCAGTGTCTCCTCTGGCTTTTTAACCTCACAAAATCTTCCCCAACCTTTTAGCAGTCATGTGTATTCACACAGTGCTCATACTTCAATAGAGCATAAGTTGCAAATAACGCCATTGCTGAGCAAATATGAAATGAATGTAAGTGCAAAATCAGACCCACTTGTCACAGTTGTTATTCTTAACTTAGAACAATATAAAAATATTAAGAATGTACTCCTATATTACAAGTACACTTATTTCTTCACAAACAACATGCTTTGCTTACCAGAGAAGGTACTGAAGGCTCCTTCTGTCTTCTTCCAAAATCTCCCACCACACACAGAGAGGCAATCGACTGTTCTTTACAATAACTGTTCTGTAGATTCATGGAGTCAAGCTCACCTCAGGAATCAAATTTCCAGGGATCCATTTCTATTTCTGTGATATGCTCTTTCCCTCCCAGTCCCAGAGCAAGGAATACCAGTCACTATAGTTATTATAAGCTAGTGGTGTTCTAAATGTGCCATTCATTATGGCACTTCCGACGCACACGCACACACGTTTTCCTCGCAAAACTGCTGTCTGGAAAAGAAAGGCACATGAAAAGAGAGGGTCATGGCAAGAACGCAATCAAAACATATCCAATTTACATGCTTAATACACTTTGCACCCTCTGTCCCCCTTTTCTCACCATTATTTGACAAATTTTCTAATAAGCAATATGGCAGAAGTAGCCATTACTTGACTGGGTTTTACTCAGGCAGCATTTTCAGATTTGCTGAAAGCTGTGTGTAAATTGGATCCTACCTTTGTCACAGTGTCCCATCCCAGCTTCCCTAGTGACTCAATTATAGATGCTGTGCTGTGTGTCAACAGACTCTGATCAGCCATTTTATCTGGCTCATCTGCTGAGTGAATACTTCGTTCAGATAAGCCTGTATTGCCTGTTAGACTATGATAAAGGCACCAGTCTGTACCTTCTCTGCCAGGATGGATGATGTCTTAGTGCATACTGACTGATCCACTACGTTGCAGTTTTGCAGCTCAAGGTGGAAAAGCGGGATGACTACTCCAGAGATCTCTGTAGTGAGCTTTAACAATGAAGAATTAAGGGATGTTAATCATGCTTCGTGCAGCTAACTTCCTAAGAGGCTTAATTATAAATGTTGTGCAGTGTACAACTGCAAGAGGAGATGAGCGTTAGCTAGTGCACGTCTTCTGAAATTACTCACGTGAACGTACGGTGAACTCGAAGAACTAGAGGATAAACCTCTTCTTGGGAATCCAGAAGAATATCCCAAATTAGGAAATGGCAAGAGAAAGTGGTTCACTATATATAACTGAATTGCTACCAGTGCCTACATGACAAAAATTGGTTATAAACTGTCACTAAACAGCCCTTGAAAATGAAACGTAACAGTTCTACATCAACAGATGAAAGGAGTTGGTTATAGCTGCATCTGATGCTCAACTTCCCAAATGGAACTTCTTTGCCCATTTAAATGGCTCACTCAAGTCTATCTGCCTAATTATTGTCCTTGCGTTTTTTCACACTGGTTGGGCAGTCTGTTGAAAAAGCACCGATAATTTCCACAGAGCTGAGTACCTTTGGAAATTAAGAGCTGCTGAGAGTCTTGATCTTGTATGCAGTCAGGTCCTCAGTAATTTGAACAGCAGTTCATCCTGGGAGAGAAAGGACACAAGAATATAAGCGATGACAAACACGACCAATGACACAAGAAACGACACAGAAAAAAAAACATGGTAGGTGCAAATCTAAAGGCACAGTGGAGCCATGCTTGCCAGTCAGAAAAACAGCTGAGTAGGAGTTTGCCGTTTAAGAAACCTCTGAAGCTGCATACATTATGTTTAGATTAGAAAGATGAAGGAGAGTTTCATAACTAAATAACAAAGACTACTGCAATTATGATATGGGCAGGTATAGTTGGTCAATAGCGTAACAAAAAATATGCAGGTTCCTGCTCTCCCTGGGGGTAACAAATGGGCCAAACTTCCCTTATCTCCAAATGGAATCACATCCATGCAAAACTCACAAATTGCCCTCTAGACAGCTTTGGGGTAAGTATACAATTACTGCGGTTTTGACATCTGAAAGAACGACTTTTTTTTCCCCCCTCGGTATTGTGCATTATAAATGGTTAGCGAATTCAGGAGGGTACGGAGCATTATCTGATCGCGATGAGGACGTCACCTGCACATCCGAGGTGATTCACCCGCTCTCTCTGTTTTGCTGGCGCCCCTCCCATGCCAGGTGGCCTGGGCTTGCCGGAGGCAGCAGATGGAGCGATACTCCCCTCCTTTGCTCCTCCTCGCCTCCCGCCAACGTCCCCCATACCACCGGGGCACCTACAGCTCGCCACATCATCTGAATCCGCAACATGAGACGTATGTAGGAGTTAATACCATGCTATTCGGGGTTGAGAGAACGATTCTGCTCCTTCTGAGCCCACATTCTGTTGCTGGATTTTTCCGTAGCCTTAAAAAAAG